GCAGACAGACAGACAGACAGACAGACAGACAGACTATACAGTTAGCTCTTCTTCATTACAGACTAATCATCGGAAACCCGCAGGCAGATCTGGCGAGATTTGCACGGCATTATGTCAATTACCAATCCCGTAACTGGGCACATTAGCGATAGATTACACATTAATAGTTTAAGACTTTTCACAAGAAAATAACTAGTTAAAATATTTGCAGGGCGAGGAAGCCAAATGAATTCAGGAGACTGCACCCAACTGGAATTTGACCAAATGAATTTAAAACTCATTCCAGTAACACTCGTACAAAGTTTTCACAAGACCATGCTATTCAACACAGACAGAGCTTACAAACAAGGGCAATTATAATGTACAAAACACAGACTCAAAGCTGCCATCGACTGCTCTATTTTGTTTCCTGAATTAATTAAAACTCAGTAGTAAGAAATGTGAAATACACTGACCTTTAAACACACTTGGTAAAGTGTTCTCATTTTAACTACTTCAATTTTCAACAATGTAGCGACCCCTCCCCAGCCCACCCAATACACAACAACCCTCGAACAACACAATCTTTAAGAAAATACACAAAATAAAAAAAAGTTGCAAATTTCACACACATATATATATATACAAAAAGATCAGAAATACAACCTCAAACAAAAAACCCATATAATTTGCCAACGTATGTCTGCTCTATCGTAGACTCAATGTGGAGACTTTCAGACTAGATATAGACAATATACTTTCTTTACATGAGGTTCTTTGAACATTTTTATGCATTGGACAGGAAACAGATTGATTTGTCACTTTTAAATAAAACAAGCCGAGACACAATACCCACCGGCACACCTAAAAGTTCCAGTAATAAAACTGTGATATTTCTTTGTTTTATTTGTTTACTCAACTTCAGCCCAGTATAATTCAACTTATTTGTCATTGACAAATAGGGTAGATAAGACAACAGCATTCAAGAGACTTACGAGCACAGTTCTACTGCATTGAATCAAGAATTGGAACTTAGCACAATAAATCCAGCTGATGAGACTGTTTTCCTTTAAAAAGAACTCCTGTACACTCAAAGAAGCTAGCTCAACAAGATAAAATCTTGCAGATAAAACTTTGAAGATTCAGCATGACAGAAAGACCTTAACTTTGCCATGATGCAAGTTAACAAGTTAAAAAGACTAGTTCAGTATCATCTTTGAGAAAAAAAAATTTAACTTCATGCATCATGATAAGAAACAATGACCCTCGGACATCTTAAATTTCCCTTTTCCAAAACTATAAAAGAAAAAAACCAAAAAACAATTTAAACCAAACAAACAGTAATGAGCTTGAAGCTATAAGTTCAAACGATGGAGGTACACAAGTAATCAAGTACCTAAAACAGAAAAAAACTGTTGATAAAAATACCCTGAGAACAAAACAAGTGATCTCATTTATCACTAAAATACTGATCTAAATTTAAATTCAAACTCAACGATACCTGAACAACAAAGCAACATTTTTTTTTCACTTTTATCAAAAAATAGATACAAACCAATGGAGAGACATTCTGTGCGAAAAGAAAAAATACAAACCCAAATGCAATGAGAATGGGACTCTATTTATAACTCCCCTCATCATTTATACGTACTAGTACACATTTAAAAGTGCAACTTCTCAGCATGTGTGCAAATAAAATTCAACATGTCTACCTTTTATGAATACATCATGAGACGATGTAATTAATTCGTTCATTCATCTGTTCCTAAACTCTACCAACAGTATAATATATTATATATATATATATATATATAATGGAGGGTGACTCAACAAATAAGACAAAGACTCCAATGTCACAGCTGCTGTTCCTGAAATTTCATTATGTTGCAAAGTAAAGTGACTTCAGCACCCTCAATTCCACTTTTGCAGTCTCCCCCCCCCCCCCCCCATTTTCCCCCCCTTCACCTCCCTATCCATCCATAACTTTACCCTTCTCTGTCAATCAATTTGTATTTTACACTAAACATTATCATCTCTGATGCAGATCGAAAACTTCCTGCCAGAAAGTTCACAAAACAAATTCTAAATTTTCGTCGACTAAAATGTACTTTTTTTCATAGCACCACAGCCAAGGGTTTTGCTGCTCAGACAACCCATATAATATACTGGATATTTATTAGTGTTATAAACAATTAAAACAAGACTAAAATATTTTAGCATTTAATTTATCACTGCGCAACTAAAACACGAAATCCCCTTAAACTGAACTAAGAACTCTATACAAAGCCTACATATTCTGATGACAAAACAGGAAGCATTTGTGAGATGTCAGGGTAAAATCAGGCCCTCATCAAATTAATTTTTCAAAGAAACCGACAAATAAAATTTATTTTAGCCCTACGTTTCAACATCATATCGGTTACTTATCTTTTTTAAAATCAGACAGTAGGCTGACAATACAATTAAAGAAATCAAAGTCATGACAGACAATGACAAGAACAAACACATTTCAGTACTTACTGCTGGTGGGTGATCCCATTTGTTCTGAAATTCCTCTTTGGCTCTGGCCAAGAATTCTTTGACTGAAAAACAAAGATTAAAATAGCAATCAATACGGGAGATAAAAAAAAAACATTCGAAAAATACAAGAGAGGAACAAAATCCCTACACACAAAAGAACACTGACAGAATTTGTTTTCAGTAACCCCCAAAATAAATAAATACCCAAGCGAAGCAAAAATAAGAAATTAATTCACTAAAGAACAGCATCCTCCTTAAAGCTCTTTACTTTTTCACTGAAAGAAAAAAAACAACCTCTATAAAAAACATGAACACAAAATTCAACTATTAACTACGCTTATGGTTTCTTTTTTTTTTTTGTAAGAGTTTTACAGCACTTGCAACACAATATTCAATATGGTCATATAAGGGCCGAAGAAAAGAGGTGTTACCAGAGAGAAACAAACACAAAAATGAAGGAGGGGAGATCAGGACAATAGATGTTTGATAGGAAAGAAGGAGCAAACCACACCAGAGCACCCGCGAACCACCCACTTATGGTTTCTTTCTTTTCAAAAAACTCAAAAACATAAAAGTTAACTTACAAAAGATTTTTTTTTTAAAAAGCAAAAACAGCATAGATAGGCAGTGAGAGAAAGTACAAAGCATCCTTTCATGACATGATCACATACAAACTCAAAAGAACACAGTGGTACCATGAGTGTTTTGAAACCAACTAGCTTCTTAACCATACACCACTGTATACTTCAAGTTCACACAAAAGACTGAAAAAGACACCCGGTGAAATAGCAGACAAAAATCTCATTGCCTGATTTGTTCACTTTAGGTTTTTTAGTCTTTAATTAAATTATGTCAAAGGAAAAGACAAAAATTAATTTGGACAACGACAAAGTTACAATCAAAAATAGCTTTCGTTTAGTTTTAGTAGGAGTTAGAATTTTCCACACTTGCAACACAATATTATATAACGCCATAAAAGTACTGAAAGAGAGTAACAAACACAAAAAAGGAGAAGAGATGGATAACGGCTTAACCATGTTTGATGGGTACGAAGAAGCAATTAAACCAGAGAAGAACCTGCCAACCCCCCACCTAATGATAGCTACTGTGAGTACAACAAGTAATCAGTAGGAGTAATAGTTGTTACTATTGTAGTTGCAGTATGTGTGTTTAAAATAGTGGATACATGTAGTATGTAGCAGGGAAGCAATTTCCGGAGTAGCAGAAACATGTAATGAATTAAAGTCAAAACGTACGTCAAGTCAGTCTGTCTCAGGATTCTCTAAGTTATTATATATGTTATTACATAAGCAGATGCTTAGCAACTCAAACTCAACACTATTTCTGCTTTTATAGAAAATCCACAGTGCAGGTGTTTGTTGAAAGGGAGAGGGGGGCGGGTATCTGGAGAGTTAGTGAGAGAGAGAGAGAGAAAGAGGGAGGGAGGCAGACAAAACAATTCACATAAAAAATAAACGGCACACTAAGAAACAAAACTATCATGAGCCCCAGGCATTTTCCTCAGCAACAGAAAACACTCCTCCCCTGTACTTCCACCCAATTCCCCTACCTTTATAATTCCTTTGTCAAAAAAGAATTTTTACAGAATGACTTGTTAAACGATAACATTTTTAAAATTCATTAATTAGCACTGATAGTGAAAGTACCATCTCAACATTCTCACACTAACATACTTTAATATTAAAATTAAAGTATAACCAAGCCCTTGCCTCATACACTCACGTTTATAAAAATGCAGCGTAAAAAAGCTCAGCTCGAAACCTGAACTTACTTCAGCTCGGCATACATCATGAAGATGAAACTTAAATATTTTCAATACTACCATACAACCATCATTCATTATGATCTATAATTAAAATATTCCATCTGCTGTTTCTGGATTTGTTGCAGAAAGTAAAAGCTCATTCACGAGTCTGAAACAAGAAGTCCACCCACCAAAGGAAACTAGTGTAGTTTTTTGCCTATTGCTATAGGACTTATCTTTCTACATGAGAGTACTTTTCTGACTTTTCACAGAGGTAATCAGTATTTGTGACAAAAGGCAACAATACTTTGCACAGTTCATTCTGAACTTGTTATTATGACAACTAATAATTCTTTTTCCATAAAACAGCACAGTGCTTAGTTGCAGTTGCAATGCTGATATAGACTATAGACAAGGAAAAACCCTCTCTTACAATGGCAGATCTTTCGCATTTCTAGGAGAGACATTACAAACTTTTGATGACAATGATAGAAGAGGCTTGCCAGTACGAGATTACCAACCCACTAACAGTAAGTGGAAAGCTAATTTAAAAAAACCCTTTATTTCTGATGATAAAATCTATGCCCTTGGAAAGATAAACTAAAGATAGATTGGTAATTTTGGAAATAGGTCATCTAAAAGGTGGGAGGGATTTGCAGAATTGTTCTGCCGCCGCCTTTCTTTCAATTTAGCCTACAACGATCGTGCAATAGGAGATCAAACCATCAATTCCAAGATCATCATGACAAAGATTGAGGACACATTGACTTTAAACTTGATTCCAATGATAATGATAACAACACGCAATAGACCTTAGCCTTTCCTATTAAATATAAAACACAATCCTAGTGTTTTTTGTCAGAGACATATCTCAGTACTTGCTGTTTCTTCATAAAAACAATGTTCACTCAACAAGAGATCAATATTGTAATTGGAATGACTTCCGTAAGAATGTACACTCAAGAGATCAATATTGTAATTGGAATGACTTCCGTAAGAAGAGACCACCCCAACAAGTCACAATTAAGAAAGGAAAGACCAAAACCCTAACCCAACCCCTACACTTATGGTTATCCCAAACCCTAGGCCGATATTCCATTCTGTTTCATAGTGGTCGCATTTTTTACCTCTTTGAACACCCTCGGATGCTCCGGCAGTAATAACCCTGTTCCCCATCGGACGCTGGGAGCGTCCAGTACTACATCTAGATGTAGATATATATAATCTACATCGTGACAACTGTTTCCTTTTATATAGATCTAGATCTAGATCTAGATCTAGATCTAGTGCTAATTTTTGCTTGTTTTTCGGAACTATTCCCGAACCATGTTTTTTTTAGTAATTATGATTTTAAGCCTTTGCGTTTGCTATTTAGAAGTTTGAGGCAAGCTTTTGGGGTTATGAGACGTAGTGCACTAGGTTTAGATCAGGGTGACAGTAGAAAAAAACTCAGGGAAACGATGTAGAAAACTCAGGACTTGAAGAGTTAAAATTTTCTTCAACATGTCCATAAATAGTCACTGTCTACAACAAAAGTCAGGATGAAGAAAACATATAGATCTAGGCTATTGACAACAAAACTCATTGAATCATTGAGTGTAAAGTGTAAAAAATGTAGTCTAATAGAACTAGATTCTAGATCTAGAATCTAGATCTAGACTAGACATAGAAATTTATCATAGATCTAGATCTAGATCTAGATCTAGATCTAGATTAGATCTAGATCTAGATCTAGATAAATTTGACTGTTGTCTGTTGTGTAAGTTTAAGAGTGTAAACTACACTAGAGATCTAGAATCTAGATATCTAGAACTAAATCTAGATCTAGATTAGATCTAGAATCTAGATCTACAGCTAATCAAAGGATAGCAGTCGAGACTCAAACTCAAAGATGAAGGCTAGCCTAGATGATCTCGCTGATTCCAGATTCTAGGCCACTAGCGCGGACTGACAAAACAACTGAGGCACACACCAGACAGTATATATTTCTTTCAGGCGCCAGGACTCGTGGAATCACCAAGACATTAAAGATGACTACTTGCGCTCAGTACACCAAATCATGCTCACAATAACCACCCGTACAGAGTCTAGAGACAGAGATGAGCAAATTCATTCAAACAGGTTTCAGTTTTGCAACGTCAACGAACACACTTGAAGAGTCATAGTCTAGATTTCTAATATGACACACAGAACCACTGACTTAAAAAAAAAAAAAGCAAAGTGAACATAACTGACTTTCGGATCAAGGTCTAGATTTCCTAGTGGTTATTAAATAACCGCACCTCAAGGGACTATTGATAGCAGGCTCGACTTCAGGCCAACTGACCTCTGTTCTGCATCCCCATCCATTTTCTTACCATTTTCCGCCGGGTCCCCTTTTTTTGCCGTTGCCGCATTGCCCATATCCTGAGTGTAACTGCTACTGCACCTCCAATCTGATAGTGTTTGACTGCACAAACAGGTGCTGAGCAGATAATCCCGTTAGTTTGAAAAACAGAAGTGTAATCCCGATAAGAATCCTAGTCCACGCACGCAACACGAAAGCCACAAACAATACTAACACCTCTTCTCTCAGAACTGAGAAATGTTTATTACCGAATCAATGCAAGAAACACGGTCGTTCCGGGTAGTGATATTTCATTACATTCTTCCTGAACACAAAATGAATAAAAACAATTTCAAAATCCTAAAATGATTTGAAAAATGACAATTTAAACGAGCTTTTGGCTGTAACACGATAGTAACAGATATTTGACAGCTGAATTATTTTCCAGTGCGTATGCGCCTAGCCGGTGAACGCAGAGCACGCAAAGCACTGTGGGTAAGACTCTCGTAAACATTAACCTGACCGCGGAGCAATCAGCTGAATGGCGAACGAGCGAGCCCGCTGTCCTAGTTTCCCCTCGACACAACACTCGGTTTGTGAGCGAGCGCATCCGTGTGATCGAGGCGGAGAGAGAGAGAGAGG